GAGAGGAGATAATACTGATAATCATATTGAGTCAGTTTTTTAAACTACTTTGAACCCTGTCAAGAATAAAATATGTAGAGATAGAAGTAGAATTCTCTATTGGAGGAACCTCACTTTTTATCTGTAAGATTTTTATCCAGCTGAGTGAGATGTACTCACATCATAGAAATCATTGCGGTTTTCTCAGAGTCACTAATTAAAGTGTTAAAAATACCCTAGCATAGGCCTGGAGTTATAGTACAGTGGGTGGGTCAGTGCCTAGCTATGACTGACTGGGTTCAATTTTTTGGCATCCCACACAGTCCCCTGTGCCTGCCAGGAGTGATTCCTAAGCATAGAGCCATGGGTAAGCTCTGAACATTGCTGGGTATGGCTCCAAAACAACAAAAGTTGTTTTGTTTTCATTTCATAATTTCATTTCATGTGTGTATTTTAGACTATGGTTCCAACTGTTCATCAAACATTCTAGCAGCCTAGAATGTTTGATGAACAGTTGGAACCATAGTCTAGAATACACACATGAAATGAAATTATGCCCCTATAGTAATTTTTTTAGCTGAAACTTTTGTGGTAGACTCTTAGCTCCTCCTAGCTTCTCTTCCACTTATGTTTACTGCTTCTACTTCATCTCAGCTGGATTGGATGCCTTAATAAAATTATAAGGAAAGGCATTGGGAAGTTTGATTCTAAGCAGCATAAATATTGATAATGTTCACTGTCATGTGCCATTTTGTTGTTCTACAAAACAAGAATTTGAAAATGATAAAATTTGAAGCTGTTTGTAATCTGGAGGCTTTGTAAGCTTCTAAACTCATCTTTCTGGTTCCTATCAAACTTACTTATCCTGTGGTTACGCAGAATTAGTTCTTCAAATTCTAATAGCACATGGACAGAATTCAATGGAACAGAAGCAATATTAGTATAAAGTCTGATATATGATTATACGGAAGGAGAATCTCTATCATGAATATAGGTTGATGAGAATTATTCAAGAGACTTTGAGACACCCTCCCCCCAAAAAAAATCTTTATTAAGGCATAGAGAAAGAATTTGGAGAGATAGAGAGGCAGGTGGGCTGAAAGTCATTTCCTCTTCATAATGTGATTATATTTGGAAATGCTCTTTCTAGAGTAGCCAGGCTAAAATGAGATCATTAGGGAGGTTCTAATCTGTATGGCAAAAATCCATTTTAGAAGAGGACATTTGGACACAGACCCATACAAAAGAAAGACCAGGTGATAAAATGAGAAAGACATGTTATATAATAAAAATCTATAAGCAAAGGAAGGTGGCATTAGAAGCCCACACTGCCCACACCATAGTCTTTGAGCCTCCAGACCTGTGAGCAACAGCAATACATTTTCTGTTGTTTGATTTAACCTGCCTCTTCACCTGTTAATTGAGTAGCTTGAGTATACTTCCCCAGTTAAAGTGAGAAAGGGTGTAGGATGCAGAGCAAGCTCTTGCAACGAAATGTGAAGTATGCTGTGTCCATGGATCATGCATTGAAGTAATGACCACTAGGGTTTTTGGATTAGTTTAGAGTGTGTTGGATATTTTGTTTGGTCTTAAAATGAAAGAAAGGGTCGCCAAAAGAAGAGGTCTTCTCAATAGTAGCAGAACAGAGTTTTATAAAACCTGGAACCCTTGTTGACTGTGAGGAATGATGCTGAATCAGTTAAGTTACAGGTTATATAAGATCAAGGGTATATAAGGATATGTAAGGTTATATAAGGTTATTATTATATAAGGTTATACAAGTTTGAAGTAACACAGTTAATGGCAGAGGTTTTGTTTCCATTTTCCACTAAGTTGATTCGTCTTTGGTTTATAGTATTACAGAGTTTCAGCATACAGCTTGTTACCTCTGTATCTGTAACACTCACTGCAGCTAACCTCAGAGTTCCATTGCCATTCCACCAGCAAAATATCCCCATATCCACTTCTTCCCATCCCCTTTCCCATTGCTAACTACTGCAGTTTATTCCATATCTAGGAATTGGTTTTATAGATTTTTGCCAGTTTATTTGATTTAGCCGTTTGTAGTCAGCAGTGAGTGAAGTAATCTAATAGCAATTATATTTCACATACTCATTTATTTCATTTTAGTTCAATACTGTCAACCTGTATCCATTTTTGTCCCAGATATCATGAATTAATCTTTTTTTAATGCATAGAAGTATTCCATTATATGTACAACACAGTATCTTTATCCAATCATTTGTCACTGGGCATTTGGGTTGAAACCATGATTTGTAAATTGTCAATAATGCTGTGTGAATATAGGTAAGAAAACATCTTAAAATTAGTTCCTCCAAGTGTTCAAATAACTCCTTTCAGAGCTTTCAGTATCTGAGACTTTCATTGCTGAATCATAAGACATATATTTATTTATTTATTTATTTAGGTTGGGATAGGCAGTGCTCAGGGGCAACCAGGATTATAATCATTGTGGTTCTTTGGAGGTCCAGGCATTATCAGCGTACAAACTCAGTCTTGAGTATTATAGGCATGTGCTCTACCACAAGTTATTTCCGTGGACCAAGATTGTTCTTTTAATTTCCCTTTATTCTGACTTATTGTTTTATATATAGAAAAGCAGCAGAATTACGCGGGTTGCTTTTGTAATTCATTACTGAACTAGCGAATTATTTCTAGTAGTTTTTCAGTGTAATATTTATTATTGACTATATTTATTATTATCTATGTTTTCTCTGATTACCTTGACAGTTTTGAGAACTACTTAGACTAGCTTTTTTTTTTGGGGGGGTCACACCCAGTGATGCACAGGAGTTACTCCTGGCTCTGCACTCAGGAATTACTCCTAGCAGTGCTCAGGGGATCATATGCGATGCTGGGAATCGAACCCAGGTTGGCTGCATGCTGGCAAGCTCCCTGTGGCATACTAAATATGCCAAAAACAGTAACAACAAGTCTCACAATGAAGATGTTACTGGTGCCTGCTCGAGCAAATCAATGAACAACGGGGAGGACAGTGCTACAGTGCTAGATTTCCCCCCCTCAGACTAGATTTCCCCCCTTACTGAGATTTGTTTAGTGTTTCGCTTGTGAGTGTACTGAGAATTTTGTTATTGTAAGGAAGACCAAATAATTAAAATGTTATTTTTAATCACATCATATTGAGGGTATGCACTATGAACTCTGATAACTATCAATCATGAGAAACCCATCACTGGTCTGAGTAGTACTTATCACATTTCTCTACTGAAAGTCACATTTATTTAGTGCCCTGCCCCAACATTCACATATTCAGCACACATTGAAGAAGTGGAGAACCTTAAAAATTTCAAACATAAAAAAAATTTTGAAGAGTAAATGTAAGTGATGATGTTGCTGAATTAGGAGAAGGGCCCCTGCCTCATCCCAAGAGACCATTGCATTTATTTGTTTAATAAAATGATAATGTTGCTGTGAGACATAAAGTGCCAGATTTAATTTTTTATTTTGTAAAATAAGAAAGATATTTTTGCCTTTTTTCTTTCTGGAGAAGCCCAAGTTCCCTCTTGAACAGATCTTGGTGTTTCTCACCCCCCCTTTTTTTTCTCTCTCCTTACATGTCTCTAAATTTTTTTAAGTGATATTATTTTGCTTTAAAAAAAGAGTATAATAGGAGTGGATTTAAGCATTCAAAGCAAACAAAAAAAAAAACAGGTTTTTATTCATTTGGTTTTTTTTTTGTTGTTGACTTAATTAAGGTGGTTAGCTTTTACCTATCACCAGAACTCCTGTGCGTTGTACTTAGTGAAGGGAATATTAAAATTCGTCTGTCTCACATTACTAACTGAAAGAGTATAGAGTTTTTTGCCCTCTTTTAAGTAAGCGCCATGGAAATTAAATTTGGTGGTCACTAACAGTTCATGACCTTAGGTGTGAAACTTTCCTTTGCTGTAGGTTTTGTAATAGGTAGAGGACTCATTATCTCCCTCTAGCGCTCACCTTTAAATCTTCAATTCTACTTGGCTGCAGTTAGAATTCTAAGTCAGATTTTTGGCAATCCTCACTGTAATTTTTCCTAATATATTAAAATGAATGCTAAAAGAACATGATTACTGACTTTTACCTCTTCCTTTTTGTATTAGAGATAGTTTTTAATTAAACCAGTGTTTCAAAACGGTTATTATAACAATTAAGATTGTCAGTGGTTGTGGTAGTATTCTAGGTGAGTTTATGTAGTTACTGTAGTGTTAAGTATCTCAGTGGCCATTTGATTTTAATGAGGGAATTGAGTTTCGTATCTATGAAACTATTTAATCACTGCTATTAGAGCAAGTGCATATTCTAGATAAACTTGCAAGCTTTGTAAAACTCTGCAAGGCTAGGAGCCAAGAAATCCTTAGGGAGTCCTCAGAGCATTGTCTGTCTTCCTCCACAGATAAAATTTTATTTCCTATGCAGGAAATGGCCTTTTTAAAGACCTCTACATCAGTATTCTTTATTTTGCCATAGTTTTATTTGATGCAGCATTTTTTTTAGAGGATGCTGTTTATGGATAATTTTAAGAGCTAAAATCATCTACCCAGAAATTGAGACTGATTTTGTAGTATTCTTAGTGGAAATCATGACAGTCATAGTATGTGATTATTCATAAACAAATCTGTTGAATGAGTTCCAGTGTTTGTGACGGCACCTGAAGTTTTGTTTCACTGGAGTCCAGAAAAGAGATTTATGGAGAAGCAATTCAGTTTGAAATTTGTGAATGTATACACACACACACACACACACACACACACACACACACACACACACTGAATTTGAACCAGAGGTAGCAATCCTCTAAGCAATTACTTCAGCTCAGAAATAAGAATGGAGAAATTCATGCTGAGAATCTCTACTGCATAACTATTTTATGTGTCTGTTGGCGACATAGTTGTATATGATGTCATGTAGGCATACTGAAAGAGAAGTTACTGTATCTATTGTTTTTTATATATAGAAGTACATGAAATAGTGACATGACCTTTTTGTCATTGTTCCCCCAGCTCCATCTGATACACTGGAACTCCACCTTGTTCGGCAGCATTGATGAGGCTGTGGGGAAGCCACATGGAATTGCCATCATCGCTTTGTTTGTCCAGGTAAATGGCATCCTGCTAATGATGTGTTTTTCAGAAATGCTTAGTGCTGATTCACTTTGTAGAAGATTTTTTATTCTCTCAGTTTTATCACCAAGAAATGACACAATTTAAAATTGCAGCAAATACTGGAATATAAAAATAGAAAACTCTATCTTTGATGTCTAGGAGGAGCGGGGATTTGGTAGAAAATGATTAATTTGCTTATTAGAATATTTCTCAAGAGTGATATTTGTTCAGGGTCTTTGGAGAAATTATGTAGAAAATGTTTCTTGAAGGCAGAGCTCATTTAATTAATGACAAAGAATTTCAGAAAATGTTTTTGGACTTTGACTTACTGCAAAATCTAAGAAAAATCAATAATATAATTATGTGTTAGATTCCTTTAACTCTGTTATTAATAATTTTCACCCCAAGGTGTTTTGAAGTGACTTACAGAAAAAAAATGATAAAATAAGACTGGCAGAGACCTCAGTGGTTATAGTCAATATAAAGTTTTATGTTTGAGCTCTGTTGTAGGTAAAGAATATTACAAAAATTCAGTCTGAAAAGGCCAACATAGAACATATTATATATATTTCACTCTTCCCAGTCTAGGCAGCCTATATTCTCACTTGAGTGGAAAAGCTACCACCCACCTCATCATATCCCAAATAAATTTATTGTATTCCTCAAAAGAAAATTAATCCTGGTACCAGGGTCATGGCTCAGCTTTAAAGCACATGCCTTGCATACATGATACCTGGGTTGTATTCATCCAGCACCACATGCACACACATGCACACACACATGCACATACACACATCCAGCTACAAAGGCGGATCTTCTCAACTTTATTGCGTTCTCTACTGGAGACTGTAAACTATTCAGAGGTGAAACAAATCTGAAAAATTTAGGAGCCCTGCTACAGCGCTCTTACAGAAGAAAGCCAATGGTCAGAGAGGTCAAGTCAGGCACTTGTCTTGTTCACAGCTGACCTGGGTTTGATCCCCGACATCCCATATGGTTCCCTGAGCACTGCCAGTGCAATTCCTGAGTGCTGAGCCGGGAGTGATCTCTGAGCCTTGTCAGATGTGGCCCAGAAAAAAACTCCCCCCAAAGAAAGTCATTCTTACTGTCTTATGTAAGTCACTGCCATTGTCAAGATCAGACCCATTGTTTTAAGTCTGTGTGTTCCTGGGTGACCTCTTGGGTGCCTTGGATTAGAACAATGATGTTGACAATAGGGTCTTTAGCAACTTAACTGTCCAAACAGCCTTTAAGCTTACTTTTTGGGGGGACACATATTTCAAAAGCATAAGTAATGATAAGAACCTGCTATGTTTTTTGGTAAATAAAAATTATTATTTATAATATATTACTTGGAATACACCCAGGTGTTTATTATTGACACTTTGGCAGCTGAACCCATGGGAAGCTTCTTGGGAGACTCTTCATGAGTCCAAACAACCTCTGAGGGCTCCATATTATATATTTTTTAATTGAATCACTGTGAGATACATAGTTATAAAATTGTTCGTGATTGGGTTTCAGTTATACAGTGTTCCAACATCCATCCCTTCACCAGTGTACATTTCCCACCACCAATTTCCTTCCTGCCCTGTATAATATCTTTGGGGGTGGTCAGGGGGGCCCAATGCCCGATGGCTCTTCCCCTAGCTGCCCGCGTTCAGGTGGGCCCTGGGCCACTCACCCAGCCAGGGCAGCCTGGGCCATGGGGCAGACAGTGGATGAAACCAGGGCCAAGCCGGTTGATTGATCAGATGCTGTTTATTCCATTCTCCCCATGCGCCTGCCCCAGTCTCTCTGAGCCTCCCATTCTAATCTCACACTGCCCCTCAGTCCCGTCTCCTCCTGTCTCTCCCGCTCATCTCTTCGTGCTCCATCTCACAGCCTGGGCTCTCTCCACATACCTGCTGCTATATCCTTCTACATTCTTCTCCCTCTGTCCCCCTTGCTAGTCTCTGCACTCCATCTTGCAGCCCCGTGCTCTCTCTCATCTTTCCAACTCTCTCCCTCTCTCCAGTCTCTAGTCACTCCATCTCCCCAGCACTCTGGGCCAAAACAGAACCCATTCAGGTAGCAAAATCAACATAAGAAAGCCATTCCCGACTGTCAGGCTCAAGAGCAGAAACACCACCTAGGGGTATTCCAAAGCCCTTCCTGACTGCCCAGGGGAAAAATACCTCTTAAGGTATTTTTCTCCTTTCCTCAGTCCAATAACGCTATCAACATCTTAATCCTAGTTATTTTTGTACGGGCACAGTAAGAGATACATTGAGGCTTGCAGGGAAGCTTTCCTGGGAACATTTTGCCACAGACTCAGACTACAGCGCGCGGGCCAGATTAATCTTTCCTAACCCTAGCATAGCACAGTGGGTAGGGCGTCTGCCTTGCACGCAGCCAACATGGCCGACCCGAGTTCGAATCCTCCGCCCCTCTCGGAGAGCCCGGGAGTATTCGATATGCCAGACACAGTAACAACAAAGTCTCCAATGGAGACGTTACTGGGCCTGCTCGAGCAAATCGATGATCAACGGGAGGGCCTTTACTTTACTTACTTTAACCCTAGCAGGGTCTGAATCTAGTTATTACTCTTTGGATATGACAGTATTTGTCCATGACCAAACTCTTAATTTATAGTTGAGCATTAGGCACTTTGGTCAGGCCCATCTTGATGCCAGGGCAGCACATAGTCCCTCATCAGGACCCTGCTTTTAGGGGCGCTAGGAAATAAGGGCAGCTGAGGCTTAGGTAAGAGAACAGATGCCCAGGAGGAAAATATCACTGAGAGTCATGTTACAAAAGCATAACATATACTGTCATCTTGTGTCCATACAAAAAGGAAATTGCTCTAAATAAACTATGCAAAGGACTTAGGGACAAGAGCAAAACAACATTTACAAGTCAACAGAGCACAAAGAAAGAAGTTACAAATAAACACAGAGGAATGGGAGCACTGTGATGGGAGCAAACCAAACCAATAAACCTACACTACCTGAGGCTATGCAGGAAGGTCAAAACAATGCTCTCCTACATTGCCCCACACCCAAGTCTGTCTCTATGACAGACATCCTCCTCCTCCTCCTCCACCACCACCACCTCCTCCTCCTCCTCCTCCTTCTACTTCTTTCTTCTTTCTTCTTTCTCCTCCTCCTCCTCCTCTTCCTCTTCCTCCCCCTCCCTCTCCCTTCCACCTCCTCCTCCCTCTTCTTCTTTCTCCTTCTTCTTTCTCCTCCTCTTTTTCCTTTTCCTCCTCCTTCTCCTTCTCCTCCTCCTTCTCCTCCTTCTCCTTCTCCCTCCTCCTCCTCCTCCTTCTCCTCCTCCTCCTTCTCCTTCTCCTCCTTCTCCTTCTTCCTCCTCCTCTTCCTCCTTCTCCTTCTCCTCTTCCTCCTCCTCCTCCTCCATCTTCTTCTTCTTCTTCTTCTTCTTCTTCTTCTTCTTCTTCTTCTTCTTCTTCTTCTTCTTCTTCTTCTTCTTCTCCTTCTCCTTCTCCTTCTCCTTCTCCTTCTCCTTCTCCTTCTCCTTCTCCTTCTTCTTCTTCTTCTTCTTCTTCTTCTTCTTCTTCTTCTTTTTCCTTCTTCTTTTCCTTCTCCTCTCTCTCTCTCTCTCTCTCTCTCTCTCTCTCTCTCTCTCTCCTTTTAGGCACTGTGGTTTGCAATACAGGTACTGAAAGGTTAAGATGTATATCACTTTATCTCCAAGAGCTTGCTATTATATTAACCTTTAAGCTAATTCTTGGTTTATGTTTGAAAGTTGTCATCAAGTTTTAAGCTTTTAATATTTTTATATCAATCTTGAACTATGACAGTAGTCAGTGAAATTATAAACAAAGTCTTATAGTTTAAAATGAACTCTTTGCACTATATATACTTCTTGGTATTTTCATAAAGAAGTACCTATTCTTTCTATTTTACAACTGCTTTGATGAGATGGATAACAGAATGGATTCTTAACATATTGAGAAAATAAATGACATACTATATTTTTTATAATATTTACTGTTAAAATTCATTTTTCTGACTTAAAAATTAATTAACATTTAAATTTGAGTTGATGCAGTAAAAGTAAAAAATAATATTTTTTTATTAAAAAAATATTGCCATGGCAGAGCCTGGCAAGCTATCCGTGGTCTATTTGGTATGCCAAATCCAGTAAAAAAAAAAATGGATCTCATTTCCCTGACCCTGAATACGGCAGAGTGGAGAAGGATGTGGAAAGAGAGGCTGATAAAATCCCAAGGCAGAAATAGGCTGCCCAAACGAAGAAAGACAAAAATGATTGTCTGTACTTTTAATGCACGTACGCTGGCATCTGATGCATCCATCGAGGACCTGATGGTACAAGTGCGAAAGATCAAGTATGACATCATTGTTCTGACTGAAACGAGAAGACATCAATCACATCACGCCGTTTTTGACACTGAGAAGAACTGTTCCTTGGAACATGTGACAAAAGAGGCGTTGGTGGTGTTGGTATCCTTGTCAACACAAACTTAGCCATGAGCATTGATTCATTCGAATGCCTAACAACCCGAATCGGACGATTACACTTGAATAGATGTGGCTCACTGCCGGAAGTTTCTATCTTTGTTGTCTGTGCACCAACATCCAATTATGGTGAAAGAGAAATTGAGAAGTTCTACATGGAGCTGGAGAAGTTCTATAAAGAAGACCACACCTTCTACAAGATCATTGTCGGTGATTTTAATGCCAAGATAGGACCAAGAAGATCAGCGGATGAACTCCACATCGGGACCCATGGCCTAGAATGGAACGAACAGGGTGACAAACTGTCTGAGTTCATCATGTCCTTCATCATGTCACCAAGACCTTCCATGGTAACTCACAGTTGCAAAAGGCTGAATCTAAATGTTGGACATGGGAGTCTCCTGGTGGATGGTTCCACAATGAAATAGACCACATCATATTCAATCGGCGGTTTTGCTTAACCGATGTTGCTGTTGTCCCAAAATTCCAAACGGGATCGGACCAACGTCTCCT